TTTCTAATATATTTTTATTCCAGCTGGAGAACCTGCAAGTGGAGGAACAGAACACGTCGCCCCAGGGGAGAGCGGTGAGCAGGGACAGGCTGTGTCCCCCACCCAGGCACAAGACCCTCAGCAGCCGTGTCCTGGCCAGGTCACCGGGGACAGGATCATCAGGTGTCTCCAAGGGACCCTGGCCCTGTTCTGAGCACGGAGCTCATCTGCCTGGTGGCTGGGGACAACAGGAGCTGGGAGGACCCTCCCTCACACCCACACCCTGTGTCCCTGCTCAATGGGGTCATGGGTCTGAAGCCAGAGGCGAGGGCAGTGTCGGCCCATCCCTGAAAGGACTGTCCCCGCCCCAGCCCCCTCTCACAGTGACCACAGCAGGACGCACAGATGGCTGCTGAGCCCAGGAATGACACCGGGAACAGGTCTCACCTGCTCCAGAATAACTGGACTGAGGCAGCAGAAGGGGCAGGTAACACAGCATTGAATGGGATAGACATTGCACCGATGCCACTGGATTTTAATCCTGTAGATTTTGTGATCGCCAGAATCATTATACTCATCAGCCTCTGCGGCATGGTGAGGAACGGGACTGTCATCTGGCTGCTGGCTTTCCGTGTGAAGAGAAACCCCTACAGCGTCTACATCCTCAACCTGGCATTCGCAGACTTCCTCTTTCTCTTGGGTATTTTTCTTGAGAACACTGCTGATCATTCAAATGTTCACATGTATTTATTCAAAGAATATTTCATTCAGTTTTGTCACCTGGCAGGTCTCACCCTGCTGATGGCCGTCAGCGCCGAGCGCTGTGTCTCTGTGCTCTGGCCCCTCTGGTACAAATGTCACCACCCAGGCCATCTCTCCACCATCCTGTGTGCTCTCATCTGGGGGCTGTCATTTACCTGCTCATTAATGATGTTTCTGTGCGATCTTTTTAGGGTGATAGAACAGTACAAAATGTGGCTCTTCACTCACACTGTCACCTTTACTACATTCCTGGTGCTCTTGGTGTCTGGCCTGACTCTGATCATCCGCGTCCAGTGTTCCTCCCGGCGGAGACAGCCCAGCAAGCTCTACTGGACCATCCTGCTCAGTGTCCTGGCCTTCCTGCTGCTCAGTGTGCTGAGAAGGGTCTATGCCGTCTACACATTGCCAACAATCTTTAATCCTACGCTATGGTTCTTATTAACCCTTCTCATTGTCGTGAACAGCGCAGTCAACCCCGCCATCTACTTCCTCGTTGGCCAACATGGGAAAGAGCAGGCAGTAAACCCCTCCGAGAAGTGCTCCAGAGTGCACTGATGGATGAGGAAGAGGAGGCTGAGCAGAGAAGAGGAATCACCGAGCCCAGACAGAACAGGGCGACCCCTGAGCACCAGGAGAGGGCGCCCTGGCGAGTCCCCAGGTCTGACCCTGCCCCGGGCACTGCCTCTGGGAAAGTCTCTGACTTTCCCTGGAACTGCCAGAAGCGTTGTGTGACTGTCAGGAGCAGGAGCTGTGCCCGTGTCAGGGACCACAACACTCTCCACAGACACGACGTGCGGACTCCCGCGGGGCCGCAGCAACCTGGGTCCCCTTCTACACACATTCTCTGCTTCTCACCTGCACCCCGTGTGCATATGTGTCCCGTGTGCTCAGGCCCCGTGTGCATATGTGTCCTCTGTGGAAATCCCTGGGCACTGTCCTTCAGGCTGACCCCACAGTCCAGGGTCTCTGACCCCTTCACTGTCCCCTAAACGCCCTACATCCATGGGCGCCAATACTGTCTCCGTGAGCTCTGCTGAGTCAGGTGTCCTTGTGGAACTGCCATCTCTCCACTACAGCCTCACACATTTGGGGCCCATGTGTCACACTCTGTCCTTTGTTCTGAACTTATGATGTGTCCATGTATTCTAGCAAAGCACACAGTTCGTCAACTCTAACGAATGCACTCCGCTGCCCCACCCAGACTCCATGAGGGCAGGAGGTGACACCCAGACCACACCTGCTGGGCCTGCACGTGCCGGGGTGGCCCCTGCAGGCACAGATAATGCTGGGAGAGACAGACACTCGACAGCCTCTAACGAAGCCCAGCAGCTCGTGACTCTCCCCAATCCTCAGTGCTCCCTCCTGCTCCTCCCAGAGGGCCCTTAAGAGAATGTTACCAACAAGTTTCAAAGTCTTGCTGGTCTCTTGGTAAGCTGTGTGAGGATTCATACCCTCTTCTGTTTTCCCTGAAAATCAAAATTATAAGAGAAACACACTGTCCACTGTCCTCCCGTTGTTCATCAATTTGCTCGAGCGGGCCCAGTAACGTCTCCATATTTTGAGACTTGTTGTTACTGTGGTTGGCATATTGAATACGTCATGGGTAGCTTGCCAGGCTTTGCCGTGTGGGTAAGATACTCTCGGTAGCTTGCCAGGCTCTCCGAGAGGGGTGGAGGAATCAAACCCGGCTCAGCCCGGCTGGCTGTGCGCAAGGCAAACACCCTACCGCTGTGCTATCGCTCCAGCCCATAAGAGAAAAAGAACTCTTAAAGATACATATTATCTCACTGATTCACAATGTGAATCAACTAGTCAGCGTGTAGTAAGTTATAAGATCTTTAATTTTTTTTTCTTTTGGGGCCACACCCGGCGATGCACAGAGGTTACTCCTGGCTCTGCACTCAGGAATTACCCTCGACGGAGCTCAAGGGACCATATGGGACGCTGGGAATGGAACCGGGTCGGCCACGTTCAAGGCAAACACCCTACCCTCTGTGCTATTGCTCCAGCCCCGATCTTTAATTTTAAAGAGGCCTTCAATGCTTTGTGTTCAGAAAGCCATGCTAAATTTTGTCATGATAACGTCAGCTGTAGGATAACATTGGTTTGTCCTTTCTGCCTTGCCACAGGGAGCTTAAGTTTATTGGGTTGCGCCCATCACAGTGCTCCCATTCCTCCCTGTTGTTCACAATAATTTATTCCACTCAATATTTCAACATCAATCCCACCACCATTCCACCTTTCCACCACCATTATTTCAAACTTTCCCACCATCACCCAAGCCTGCCCCAAAAGCAGATGCTAATTTATTTTGTACTGCTTGTTATGAATAATCTACCCAAAAAAAAGTGCTCAAAAAGGTTTCCTTATAGGAAAGTGTTGAAAATTGTTGCATCTCACCTTGGAGCTTTTAAGCCCCTGTATAAAACATCACTAATGTGTTGTTACAGGTTGAGACAAGGAGATTTTTAAATTGTGTCGTCAGAGTCGCTCTAATACTTTGGTTTGAAGAAACTTGTAAAAAGGGCTCTTAGATTCCCAAGACACATCAGAAATCTAAGGACAAAGTTACTCTTACAAAACTGGACACGTGAAAGTGCGGGAACAGAATTGAACGAATACAAGACCATTGTTTAAGCTGCATACCCTGTGTCCACAGATGGCAGTGATGCCTTTTGTCAATTAAGACCCACAACAAACACGTTGAGGGCATTTGATTGTGAGAGAAATGAAACACTTCTTTTTCTCTCTTCTTGCCGCTTTCAGAATTTTTTTTTCACTTGATTTTGTTTGGGGGGTCACACCCAGCAATGCTCAGGGGTTCCTCCTGACTCTGCACTCAGGAATGACTCCTGGTGGTGCTCAGGGGACCATATGGGATGCCGGGGATGGAAGCCATGTTGGCGGCAAGCCAGGCAACCCCCTCCCCCCGCCATCCGATCCCTCCAGCCCTCCTGCCATGTCTCTGATGCTCCATTTCCCATCAATGAACTTATTATGCTTCAGGCTCTTCCTTTGATCTCATTTTCCAGACTCCTCAAAGTCTACAGGGTCCCTGGGACAGAATTCTCGTTGGTAGGAGGTAGAACTGTGGGCCCCACGAGGCCCCCTCACACGCATGAGTCACACGTGCTCCGTGTCCGCCTCCCCGTCTATCTGTGCCCGAGACCACACGGGGGGCTCCTGGGGGAGCTGGAGGAGCCGTGTCCTGCAGCCCTGCCCAGAGGGGAGGGACACGTTCTTTGTCGCTGACCAGGGTGAAAGCTGGGATGGGGACGTGTGAAACAAAGTTGGACTGAAGGTGGTTTTGTGCGCTGGTGGGAACTGTGCGCTGGTGAAGGACGGGTGTTGGAATATCGTATGACTGAAACCCGACCCTGAACAGCTTTATAGCTATGCATCGCACAGTAATTCAATAAAGTAAAGTAAAGTAAAGGCCCTCCCGTTGATCATCGATTTGCTCGAGCAGGCCCAGTAACGTCTCCATTGGAGACTTTGTTGTTACTGTGTCTGGCATATCGAATACTCTCGGTAGCTTGCCGGGCTCTCCGAGAGGGGCGGAGGAATCGAACTCGGGTCGGCCATGTTGGCCGCGTGCAAGGCAGACGCCCTACCCGCTGCGCTATTGCTCCAGCCCTTCAATTCAATAATAAACAAAGAAATAAAAAATTGAGATATTTTTGTGATAAATGATAACGTTGAACTAGCACCCATTGTAGTCAAGTTCTCTGACAACTGCCTCAGCCCACTGACTGAATAATAACTAGGGACCGGGGAAATGCTTCTCGAACCCTTTCCTCACTCACTTGCAGTTGGAGCATCACAGCGACAGCGTGGGGTCCCTTCTGTGACACGTGTGGAGCATTTTCCTCTGGTTCAGTGGTCATTACGGTGCGCCTGAGAGGGCCTGTGTGTTTGTGTGTGTGAGGGGCAGTGTTGAAAACAGCACTGACCAGTCCCATGTTCCCGCTCTGTGTGGGGCATGACAGGTAGAGAGAGCAAACAGACATTAAGGAGGTCTGCGGTATATAAAACTTAGAGTAAGGGGGCCGGAGTGATAGTACACCAGGGAGGACGTTTGCCTTGCACACGGCTGACCCAGGTTCGAGTCCCAGCATCCCATCTGGTCCCCCAACCACCGCCAGGGGTAATTTCTGAGTGCAGAGCCAGGAGTATTCCCTGTGCATGGCCGGGTGTGACCCACAAAGCAAATAAATAAATAAATAAATAAAACTTTGAATAGGATTTTCATTGAGTTTCATTTTCTGGTATTTTCTCTTAGCTCAAATCCAGAGAATATCCAGCAAGGAAGACTTTAAGGAAAGGGAGAGCCTGAAGCCCAGGAGGCAGAGGCCAGCCCTCGGGCATCACAGGAGACACGCAGGATGCAGGGTCAGGGCAAGGTCCATCTGTCGGAGCCGGAGGGACCCTCACCCAGACCCACACCCTGTGTCCCTGCTCAGCGGGGCTGTGGGGTCTCAAGCCAGAGTCGGGGGCAATGATGGTCCATCCCCGACCTCCGAGGCTGTCCCCGCCCCCAGCTCCATCCCACAGGGTGAGGCTGGTCGCAGGCCCAGCAGATGGAGGCTGAGTCCGCTAGCACCGAGGGCCTCTGAGAGCTGGACCGACAGGTCTGAGTCACCGGGCGAGCGCGGCACCAGCGAAAGGGCAGATGCTTCTCTTGCTGGCGTCCCCTGCCCTTAAGCCCTCTGCCAAGCGGCTACTCTAGCAGCTCCCAAATCCGGCTGTGGCTGGAGCAGCTGGGAGGGACCGAGCCACTGTGCCCGCAAGAGGACATGCGGGGACATCACGCACGGGGTCACTGCTGAGACCCCAGCCATCTCTCCCACGCTGCTCCCGGCACCTCCAACAACCCCCCTGCCCCCCGGCTGCTCCCCACACACAGGCCACTGCTGGACACACCCCAGGCCCCCAAGTGTCCCTGTCACAGCCCAGTCCTCCCCATGTGTCCTGCCAATGTCAGGGTTCCTGCCAGAAACCCCGCTGGGAAGGGCCGCGTCCTCGGGGCGACGCTGCAGTGGGGTCCCTCCATGAGACCTCACTGTGCTGAGGGTCCCCACTTTCACATTTCCCTGGAAACACGCTACTGGCCCTGCATGGGGGGGGTCCAGGGGGCACCCAGGGCCCCACAAGCCCAGCTGCTCCCCGATGTGGTGAGGTGAAGCAGATCTCGGGGACCCCAGGACTGGGTCTCTGAAGGGCAATGATGCAGCCGCGGGGCAGAAAGGGGAGAGGAGGGGGTGACCGGAGGGGCTGACCAGAGGGGAGGGGGCCTGGCAGGGGGAGCCGAGGCCCCCTGGACAGAGTGAGAAATGTCCCTGAGAGGAATGGCACCTTTACTGCGGCTCCCAGTACACCAGCAGTGCTGACGTGGGCTTCTCCTTGGGAGAGGCTGGGGCAGGCGGCATCTCGGCTCTGGGGGGCGTCCCCTCACGGGTCCACCCTCAGTACATGCCGTCCACCTCCTGCTGTTCGCCCCGCTCCAGCCGGAGAACCTGGAAGGAAGTTTGTGTGCAAATGGGGTCAGCAGGTCAGACTAAGGGTCAAGACGAGAGGAGGGGGGACAGCGGGAGGGGGAAGGAGACCATGAGGCATCACAACAGGTGACACGCCTCCTTTCCGGCATCTTCCACAACCATCTGCATGTCCTGGGCACTGCGATGCCGCCCTAACTTTGGGCGCTAACAGGGATGTAAGGGGAGGGTGGGGCAGTCCACTGGCAGAGCTGGGGGTGTCTAACCAGGGTGGGAGTGCTCAGGGCTGAACTGTCCACTTCCTGGCAGAGCTGGGGGTGTCTGACCAGGGTGGGGGTGCTCAGGGCTGGACTGTCCACTTCCTGGCAGAGCGGAGGTATCCATCCGAGATGGGGGGGGGCGTCCCTGACCGTATCTGCAGGCTTTGCAGGCAGGGCGGGGCTGGTCTCGGTGTAGAGAAAGGAGACAGGGGAGGTTGGAGAATGAGGGTCGCCTGAGCCTCACGTCTGAGGAGGGACCATGTGCAGCGTGTCCAGCTGCTCTGCCCATTCCCTCAAGCCCAGAACCAGTGGCCATAGCAGCACCCGCTGAGCCCTGCTCCATTCTGGGCAATGTCCCCTCCAGGAACAAGGTAAGAGGAAAGGAGAGGCAGTGTCCCTGAACAGCGTGACCACAAGTGCTGGACAGAATGACTGTCGAGTGCTAGAGTGACCGCAAGTGCTGAAGTGACCATGGTGCTGGACAAAATGACCGCGAGTGCTGGAATGACCACAGTGCTGGACGGGGCGACTGCAAGTACTGGATGGAGTGACCGCAAGTGCTGGATAGAGTAACCGCAAGTGCCAGATGATGACCCTGAATGCCAATGAGTGATCCTGGTGCTGGACAAAATGCCAGAAGTGCTGGATGGCGTGACCGCGAGTGCTTGACAATAACCATGAGTGTCAGATGCGTGATCACGAGTGCTGAACAGAGTGACTGTGAGTGCTGGACAGAATGACCACAAGTGCTGAGCAGAGTGACCACGAGCGCTGGCCCCACTGTGTGCAGGCGCTCTCACCTGCTGTTCGATGCAACGGGCCTGCCAGGGCCAGCCCGGGCGGTAGAGGAAGGGGCGCAGGTCGAAGCGGTGGTCGTCGGGGCTGTAGCTCTCAGCGTGGTAGGCGGGGGTCAGCGTGGTCATCTTGTGCCTGTTGGCCGAGTACTTGCCGAAAAACCGCATCACTTTGTCGGCCACCTGTGGGGAGCCGCTGATGCCAGGGCCTGTTCGCAGGACCCCAGGGGACTGGAGGGGCCCCATGGGATGCGGCCAGGGGAGCCCAGGGGGCCTGGGAAGGCGCACTGACCGGCCACTGGGCTGGGCTGACCACCAGCACAGTCACAGAGGGTCCCTGCACGCCCACCGCCGCCCACTCCCCACAGGGCAGCCGCATAGACACCCTCCACCCCTGCCCGGTACCTGGCGCGGGGAGCACTTGTTCCTCCACAGGGTGAGGAGTTTGCAGAACATGCTGTAGGGACCGGCCTTGGCCACCTTCCTGAGCCTCCCGAAGACCGACAGCTCCTCATACGTCATGCCCATGTCCTCCTGCGGACAGCAGCACGCGGCCACACTGGGTGATGGAGGTCAGTGCAGGGCTGGGCCCAACCCCCACTGCCTGGGCAGGGCCACAGGCAGGGCCACTGTGTGGGCGGAGCCACGGGGCATGGGCGGGGCTATGGGGAGTGGGTGGGGCTGCGGGACATAGGTGGGCAGGGCCAGGGGAGGTGGGAGGGGCCACGGGACGTGGGCGGGGCCGCGGGATGTGGGCGGGGCCTCGAGGTGGGTGTGTCCACGGGAAGTGCACAGAGCCGGGCGTCTGGGTCGGGACAATGAGCTGCCCCCCACGAAGCTGCACCCCTGGCTGTGGCCCCCCAAATCTGGGTGCTGTGCTTGTCATTACTCTTCATTTTTGATCTTTTTGAATGATGGTGGGCTTTTTTCCCCCCAAGTAAAGGCTCTTATTTTCTTTTAGGGGGCCCGGGACACACCTGGCAGTGCTCAGGGATCATTTTTGGCGGGGCTTGAGGGACCCTGCGAGTTGCCGGGGATCAAACCAGGGTCTGCTGCTTGTAAGTCGGTGACTCACCCTGTACTAACCCCCCACCCAAGACACTCATTGTTCTTTTCAATTCTTTTCGGCACTGCGGTTTGTAAACTTCCTGGCTGGGTTTCCGGCACCACGCCCTCCACCAGTGTCCCCTTCCCTCCACCCAGTGGCCCCACAACCCACCCACCACCACCACCACCAAGCTCTCAGTTCTCAGTTTGTGCGGAAAACAAGAGTCTGCCAAGGAATTGAGGTAAGCTCTCAAGTGAGGGGCAGGAGCGACAGCACAGTGGGGAGGGGCTTGCCTTGAGCGCTGCCCACCCGGGTTCCATCCCGGCATCCCATACGATGCCCTGAGCACGGCCAGGAGTGATCCCTGAGTGCAGAGCCAGGAATATTCCCCAGAGCACCACCAGGTGGGGCCCAAACACCAAAACAAAGTCCACGATCAGAGTCGGTGCCAGGCCCAGGAGGACAAAAAGAACGGGCCTGTCGCCAAATCCACCTGGAAATTCGAGGGACACAGAAAAGCTACAGCGATACTGGAAAGGAACCCACAGGAGGACCCACACCCAACTCGGGGCTGCGGACAGCACAGACGTGCAGGCGGAAGCACCAAGTCCAGGACAGACCCGCACCCCTGGGGAGGTGAGACCCGCTGCGGCCAGCGACCACAATCATCTGGACACCCTCTGCAAAAGGATGGAGTCGCAGCCCACCCAGGACCCAACACCAGGACCCCAGACAGAAGACACAGGAGCATGCCTTTGCGGCTCAAGGACGCTGGTGGGAGGGAGGCTGGTGCCCTGAGCTCCCACAGCCACGGCCATGGTGCCTCGGTCACTGCCCAGGGGCCCAACAGCACCAAAGCTGCCGCCACCACCCATGGGGCCCATTAGCGCTGCAGCTGCCCTGGCCAGCCACCAGGGGCCTGCGGGGCTCAGCCAGAGGGCCCCAAGCCCAGAGAGGCTGGGTCCGTCCGCCAGAAGTCAGCGTTGGCGCTGAGGCCAGCTGCCAGGCCCAGAGGGGGCACCAGGGCACCAGGGAGAGGGATCACCGCCAAGACACAGCCCACGTTACCTCGTCTGTCTGGGACACCTGCCCATTAGCCAAGGGCTCCAGCTCTGCGGTGGCCGGGGCAGCCAAGATCCTGCAGCCGAGATATGGGATCAGTCAGGATGGCGGCTAACATGCCACAGCTTTGGGGGTTGGCCCCAAACTGGCCATTCCGCACACAGGCCAGCTACCACCACCACTGACCCAGGTGTACAGGCCAGCGGCAAGCACAGTGGACAGTACACAGGCCAGCGGCCAGCACAGCTGAGCTGGTACAAAGGCCAGTGGCCAGCACAGCAGCCAGTACACAGGCCAGTGTCCAGCACAGAGGCTGGTACACAGGCCAGTGTCCAGCACAGTGGCCAGTACACAGGCCAGCTTCCAGCACAGAGGCCGGTACACAGGCCAGCGGCCAGCACAGCAGCCGGTACACAGGCCAGTGTCCAGCACAGTGGCCGGTACACAGGCCAGCGGCCAGCACAGAGGCCAGTACACAGGCCAGCAGCCAGCAGAGTGGCCGGTACACAGGCCAGTGTCCAGCACAGCTGAGCTGGGCACACAGGCCAGCATCTGGCACTGAGAAGCTGGGCAGTCCACTCTGGTCTTTCCAAAGGGCATGGACATCCACCAGTTTTACGGCCTGGAGGACCGAGGCTAAGGGTGAGAACCATAGCTGCATTTCCCACCAAGGATCCAGTGACAGTGGTCAGACACTGCCCACTGGACGCCACGAGCATGTCCCTCATGGTTATCGAAAGCGTATCCACACGGCCAGAGAGATAGCACAGCAGGGAGGGCATTTGCCTTGCACATGGCCAACCTGGGTTTGATTCCTGGCATCCCATGTGGTCCCCCGAGCACCACCAGGAGTAATTCCTGAGTGCAGAGCCAGGAATAACCCCTGAGCATCGCCGAGTGTGACCCAAAAAGAAAAGGGAAAAAAAAAAGGCGTATCCAGGGTCTGGAGCAATAGTACAGTGTGGAGGGCGCTTGCTTTGCATGCGGCCAACATGGGCTCGATCCCCAGCATCCCACGTGGCCTTCGGCACCTCTGGGAGAGATTCCCCGAGGAGGAAGCCCTGAGCATCGCCGGATGTGCCCCCTCTCCCCCACAAAAGAAGCGTCTCCAGACACTGCCCAGTGGGGGACAGGACAGAGGTCTGGCCAAGGTCTGTGGCAGGTTCTTTTCCCCAGGAGTCGGAGCAATCGTCAGAGTGAGGGTGATCGGAGCCAGGGTCTGTCAGGGGGACGGGGGCAGGGGGGGAGGGTGCGGCAGGGCCGGGCGGGGTGCCCTCACCTCTGCAGGGCAGGCAGTGGGAATCGCTCGGCACAGAAGCGTATAAAGGTCCGCAGGTCTGTCTTGCTGATGCCGCCGATGGGGTTGATGTCAGCGCTGGAGCAGTCGTACTTGGTCAGGTAGCCCAGGAGACTGTGGGTCAGGGGGACACTTGGTTTCTGGGCCGCAGACTCCCTGACAGGGACACCCACCCTGACCCTGAGGACTTGGTTCTCCCAGGGCAGCCAGAAACCAGGCCCTGCCGAGGGGCACAGGGATGTCTGGGGGGCCTTGACAGGCAGGTCCCTCCAGAGAGGGCCCTGGGTCAGGACAGACAGGGGTCATGGGGTCCTCAGACAGGGAGAGGCCATGCATGGCGAGGCCATGCCAGTGGTGTGCCATGGTGTAGACAGAGCCTGAACCTCAGCCACACTGGTCAGCACCAGCACCTGGAGAACCTCCCCAGGCTGGCAGGAGGGTGACCCTCAAAATACCCATCTCTATCTGGATGGGGCATGGTCCTGGACGCTGAGGGACCCTGACGTGCACCTCAAAGACCTGAGAAGAGGGAAGGGGGCCAGATGGTCAGGGTACAAGGACATGGGAGGGCAGATGGACGGAAGCTGGCTGTTGAGGCGAACAAACACTGGCTGAGTGCATGGGTGGTGGAGACATGGGTGAGTGGATGGTGGGTGATTGGATGGATGGGTGGGTGGGTGAGTGGGTGGTAGATGAGGGTGAGTAGATGGATGATGGGTGGATGGTGGATGGATGGTGGGTGGGTGGATGGATGGATGGATGGATGGATGGATGGATGGATGGACGGACGGACGGACAGGTGGGTGGATGGATGGATGGATGGATGGATGGATGGATGGATGGGTGAGTGGGTGGTAGATGAGGGTGAGTAGATGGATGATGGGTGGATGGTGGACAGGTGGATGGGTGGATGGGTGGGTGGGTGGATGGATGGATGGATGGATGGATGGATGGATGGATGGACGGATGGACGGACAGGTGGATGGGTGGATGGATGGGTGGATGGGTGGGTGGATGGATGGATGGATGGATGGACGGATGGGTGGATGGGTGGGTGGATGGGTGGATGGATGGATGGATGGATGGATGGGTGGGTGAATGGGTGGGTGGATGGTGGATGGATGGATGTGTGGATGGATGGATGGTGAATGGATGGATGGATGGTGGATGGATGGATGGATGGTGGATGGATGGATGGATGGATGGTGGATGGATGGATGGATGGATGGATGGTGGGTGGATGGATGGATGGATGGTGGATGGACGATGGATGGACACTGGATGAACGATAGTGTGGGATAAGTGGGTGAATGAATAGTGGGTGGATAGTGGGTAGGTGATGGACAGTGTGGATAACAGATGGTTCGACAGAAGCACAGCCGGTAGACAGAGTGATAAGAGATGAAAAGAGGAATGCATAACAATTAGAGGATTTAAAACCCAGCTAAGAAGCAACTCAGAACAGTGCAGAGAAGATCTGCGTGGAGCAGGGGCTCATGAAGGCAATGAACATGAAGCTAGTGAAGGGGTCCCTGTAGCTCCCTATGGGGGTCCGGCAAACATGGGAGAAGCCCCGAATTGTCCCTTAACAAGGAGCCGTGTGAGAATTTCTAGCCTAGATCAAAACTGAGCTGCCTGGTTTGGAGGTGAAAGCTGCTAAAGAGGAAGTGAGAGGTGGGAAGGAGTGGAGTCGGAGAAAGAAGCCGAAGAAAGAAGGACGACGAAGCAGGGCCGAGCGGGTGCTGCCCTCCTGCTGGGTCACCGGAAATGCAGGAGCAGGACAGCACAAGACACAAGTGCCATGACGGGGTGTGGGGAACAGCCAACCGCCTCTCGCCAATCCAGACAAGGCAGCAGGGGTCCCTGCTTCCTCCAGAGCACACGCCGCAGGGATCAGAGCTACACCCCGGGATCAGGGCTGCACCCAAAGGTCAGGCTACACCTGCAGGGATCAGGACTATACCCTCAGAGATCAGGTTTACACCGGCAGGGATCAGGACTACACCCGCAGGTCAGACTATACCCACAGGTCAGGCTACACCCACAGGGATCATGGCTACTCCCGCAGTCACAGCTGCACCTGCAGAGCCCAGAGCTCCTGCTGGCCGGCCACACGCACCTCTCGTCCACGTTGGCGGAGCCCAGCACGAGCAGCCCACCCGGCAGCCCCCGAGACCAGAGGCTCAGCTGGGCGAAGAGGTAGGCAACAACCATCCGGATCCGGGCCTGGACGACAGGAGGCAGGCGTCACCCTGAGCAGCGGGAGCAGAGGGCGAGCTGGGGACAGAGGGCGCCCCACCCACACAGCTCGGCAGGACGCTCCGGCACAGCCCCACGGAGAGGCGCTTCCTGAGCGTGGGGCCGAGAGCAGGGTCAGGGTCCCGCGGCCTCTCCTGGACCATCCCCAGGAGCTCAGCAGTGGCCATTGGCCCAGAAGGGCCCAGCAAAGCCAGCCAAGGGGACGTCCCTCGCCAGGGCTGTTTCTGGAGGGCGCAGGAGGCCACTCCAAGGGGACAGAGGCCAACGGCTGCAGCCCCAGACTCCACTGGAGAAGTCCAAGAGACAGGAGACCCCTGGGCTCTCAAGACAGACACACACTCACACCCGCCACACACGCACACACACCCCCATGCACATACTCACACCCCCTCACGCATGCACACACCCACACACACACACACACATGCTCACCCACATACATGCACACACACACTCACACACAAACTCGTGCACACTCATGCTCACACACACGCTCACACACACACACTCATACCCATGTACACACTGCACACCTGCACGTCTCAGATCCTCCCCGGCGCAGCCCCACACACTCACCTGTGCGCTCATGGCAACCACATGGGGGCACACTTAGATCACAGATGTGTACAGCCCAACTCTCTCCACTCTCACACTCCTGCACACACACACACATGCTCACTCACCACTCACATACACACACACACACACACACACGCTCCTCGGCCACAGCTGACATGCACACACACGCTCTGAGACTCCCACACAACCACGTGCCTACCTCCCTTGGATGCTCTCTCCAACACGCATGACAACATGCAAACACACACACACACACACATGCGGGCCTCAACAGGGGGCTGCGAGGAGGGCAGGGGACTTGCTGCCCCCGGACACTGTACCCCCAGACACTGCGCCCCCCCAGACATTGTGCCCATGGACAGCGCTCCCCCGGACACTGCGCCCCGGACGCTGCACCCCAGCCCTGGTGCCCCGGACACCCCGCGGGGCCGCACCTGTACGTTCTGCAGAGCCAGGTTCTCCCTGCTGCTTCCCCCCAGAACCGCGAACTTGGGGTATGTCCCCGTCACCAAGCTGAAGATGCCCACGATGGCCTTCACGGCCGGCTCAATGCTGAGGCCCACATGGTGGCTGCAAGGAGAGGGCTGTGGCGGGTAAAGAGGACCCCCACGCGACCCCGCGCCCAGCCCAGGGCCCTGAGCCAGCCTGGCCCTGCGCCCTGCACCCACCCTGGCACTGAGGAGCCGCTTCTGGGGGACGCGCTCAGGGTTTCTTGCTCTGACCAAGTTCCCTCGGGGCAAGTCCCCCAGAGCCAAAGCGGCCCAGCCTGTCCCACATGGCGGGCAGAGTCGGGCACGGGGCTTGGGTGCCCCTGCCCCGCCCCCATCCACTCAGACTGGGACAGAGTGGCCGGGCTCCAGGCACCCCGCCCTGCCCACTCACCTCCCAATCTGCTGGGCCAGCTCGGCCGCCCTGGAGCGTGTCTCCTCAGACGAGTTCTCGCTGGCCATGTAGCAGGTGGTCAGCAGGCGGCCACACAGCTCCCGGGGGTCCTGAGGGGTGTAGCCCGTCTGGTTCACGAGGGCGCGGACATCAGACAGCACGTCCTGGTCTGAAAGTCACTGGGTCAGGGGCAGCAGCCACCCACAGACCGTACCCCTCTCACCACTCCCTGAGGCGGGTGCCTGCAGCCCAGCCATGCAGTGAGGCCCTGGGGCCCCCGGGGACCCCTTCCTGCCCCGCACGCACAGCACAGCCGGCTCCGTGGTGCAGGGGTGTAGCCACGGCAGGAAGAGCCAGGCGTGGCCTCCAAGCTGGACCCCGAAGCTGCCTGGACACAGGTGCCTGCAGGTGACCCGAGGCCTCCCCGAAACCCCTCGGTCACTTCCACCCTGCACCCCGTCCCACCCCCATCCCCACCCCGGGTCTCACCCCCAACCCCGGCCCGCATCCCCCCCTCCCAGACAGACGCCACCTACTTCCACTCCGCACGGCCTCGCAGACCAGGTGGCACATGGAGTAGACGAGGCAGGCGGTGGCCGCGCTGTCCAGCCCCCCGCTCAGGGGCAGGAAGAACCCCGCCTGGAAGGCCAGCACAGAGGGTGAGCAGGGCGGAACCCCAGCCCAGACCCTGCGGCAGGGCCCGAGCCTGAGGATCCCCCCAAACCCAGTATCTGAGGATCCCCCCACAGACCCCGAGCCTGAGGATGTCCCACAGACCAGACCCCATGTCTGAGGGTCCCCCTACCCCTACAGATGTGACTGCTGCAGCCAGGCCCCCGGCACTGACCAGGGAGCTGCCTACACTGTCCAGAGGCTGCGACCGAGGCTGGACCCCCACAGTACGTCAGGAACATGGGGTCCGACTCAGTCACCGCTCAGCTTCCTGCAGGACCCCACAGGCAGAGCTGGACATTGGGCGCCCTCCGGCCCCCGGGTTAGAGCTGGACACTGGGCACCCTCCAGCCCGGGTAGGCAGAGTGCAGAGGTGACGATTCTGTTCTCTGCAGTGCCGAGGTGACAGCCGCCAAGCAGGCAGGGATGGCTCAGTGGCGAGCACGGGCACACCGCAGGCCTGAGAACACACGCCTCTGGCTTGCTTGTTCACCACCTACCCGACCTGCAGGGACACGCACAGGCCCTCTGTGCAAGCGCCCTTCCCCCCTCCCCCTGCTCAGAGCACCCTGGTCTCCGTCCAAAGGCCCAGCCACCTCTCCGGGGGCACAGAGCAGGAGCACAATACTGGCCCGACGCCCTTGGCCCTGTTACCCTGTTGCTGTCCAGGTACGGGAGAGATCTTCCATTTTATCATGATGGTGGGGACACCACCCCACCAAGCAAAACTCCGGAAATTCCACAAAATTGCAAATCAATGAGAAGTTGATAACAACAACCAGAAAAGTTTGTTTTTTCTCAATCTGTCTTTTGTGATTTACGGGTCTACAAAACTTAAAAGCTAGTAGTATGACTAGTGGTGCTCTGATAATGTATTTTAGAGCTTACATGAAGAGGTAAGTCCACCAAATACATAATTCACTAGCTGAGATGGGGGCCCACAAGCCCAGCACTGAACCTCTAGTTCTACCCCTGGGCCCCTACCCCAGAGGGCATCTCCGTGCACACCAGTCAGGTGTGGGTGACACTACACCCACGTGTGCGACCCTCGGCTGGGAGCATACAATCAGGGCTGTGAAGGTGGCTCAATGGTCAGCGCACACCTTGCACCTTGCATGGGTGAGACCAGGTCTGCAGCCTGAAACTGACTTCAGGAAGTGCCCAGTCCCCAGGGAAATGCACAGTCCCCAGCCATGGTGACAACCACACAGAAAAAGAAAAGAAAGAAAATCGCCAACCGTCCATGGCCAGGGCAGGACAAGAAGCGCAAATCTTACCTGCCGGCTGCGCCGCAGAAAGTCCCAGAGCCAGCACGCGGGTCCCAGGCTGGGGGGCAGAGCGGGGGTCAGGGGGCCCTGCTGGCCAGGCACCTCATGGGGCGGGGTGCTTAGGAGGGGAAACTGAGGCCGCACCTGATCTCCTCGCCCACGCTGTGGTACTGCCACTCGAGGGGCTCAGACAGCGGCACCAGCAGGTCGTCGTGGCACGAGAGGGCGAAGTCCACCTTCACCCGCGGGTACGGGCTCACCCTGCTGGCCTGTGCGTGGATGGGTAGGGGGTCGGGGCTCAGGGTGCGCGCGAGGCCTCCTGCCCACCCCCGCTGAGCCTCGGAGCACCCGAGCGGACTCTGGAGACCCCCGTGCCCCCGAGCAGAACTCTGCAGCCCCCACATACGCCTGGTAAAGCTCTGGGGGCCCCAGACAACTCAGAGGAGACCCCGAAGGCCCCAAGCTCCCTGGTGTCTGGGACAAGACTTTGAACAGGTGGTGCACCCCGACTGTGACCTGGTGACCCCAGCATGGCTGCCCCCCAAGTGTGACCCGGTGACCCCAGCACAGCTGCACCCCGACTGTGACCCGGTGATCCCAGCATGGCTGCACCCCAAGTAGGGCCCAGGGACCCCAGCGGTGCCACCAACCCAGGCCAAGCAGTGAGCCGGCCCACCCCCTGGCTAAGGGCCACTGGAAACGGCCCCCAGCCCCAGCAGTGCCTGGGAGAAGCCGCAAGCCCAGCCCCAAACCCCAGGGCACCCCCTGTGCCACCCCAGATTCCTGAGGCAGGAGCAGGCTCCAGGCATAGGCCGAGACCACCCACGGGCCAGGGGGATGCAGCCTGATGCCCAGCCGGGGGCAGGAGCACCTCTGGGACACAGGGCCAAGGGACAGCACAGAGGTCGAGCCCGTGTGTGCAACGGTCCAGACACCGCACAGACAGCGGGGAAGCAAGGCCTCGGGACTGGGGACGGGGGAGTGCGAGGGGCAGAGGGGGCCGGGCTGGTGGAGTGCAGCGCCTAGGAACAAGCGAGGACCCTCCACAGTGCCCCCGAATGGCCCGAGAGTCCCACAGCCCGAGGTCTCCCAGCAGCCCCTGGGAGCCGCCAGCACTGACCGCCAGGCTCCGGGACGAGATCTCGGCCCGGTAGCTCCTGACGTCCTCCAGGTCCAGCGTGGCCGTGAGCACTTCCTGCAGGGGCGGGGTGGGGAGAAGGCGGGGCTGCAGGGAGTCGCAGGGAGGGCCAGGGAGGGGCCTCACCCCCGATTCAGCCCTCCCAGGACCCACTGAGCTGAGGCACCTGCCAGGCACCACGGGGTCTGCTGGGGCTGTCTCGCAGCTCTCCTCATCACACACACACACATTCACACATACACACATACACACACACTCACACTCACACACACACATCACACACACATACACACCACACACACACCACACACACCACACACACTCATACACACATTCACATTCACTCATATTCACAACACACACACACACCACTTACACCACACACTCACATACACACCACACACTCACACACACCACACATACACCACACACTCACACCCCACACACATACACACTCACACACAAACCACACATACCACATCTACACACACACCCCACACACACCCCCCCCACACACACACACACACATGCACACATACACACAGCTGTTTGCCTCGGAATGTGACTTTAGGATGAGACAGCCGGCGCTGCTGCAGCCGTGCTGTGACCACGAGGAAAGTTAACCTCAGAAGGAAGTGAGCACCGAGAGAAAGCATATGGGAGAGACAGTGAGCAGGGTGACAGCACCCTAGTGCCGGCGTGAACGGGTTACCTGTGTCATGGGAGGTGACACCGCCCTGCTTTTGAACCAGCTAGGCCTGGGGTTCTGCCCCTTGCAACACAGGGCAGGGGAGCGGGGCCTCACCGGGAGAGGTGACTCCTCTCCTGAGCAGAACAGGTTTGAGAGCACCGTCTCACACACATGCAGGGGAGGCGGCAAGCAGCTGTGCCCAGCAGTGTGGGCGGGGGCGGGGCCGGGCCGGGGCACGTACCACGTCGTCCAGGGAGAACTGGGCGCCCTGGGCGCACACGCGGCCGTTGATGGCGACCAGGGCGCAGCCGTCATAGTAGAGCCGGTCCCCGTCACAGCCCTTCTGGTTGGCCAGCAGGTAGATGCCGCCGTTCTGGAGAGGAGGAGGGCGGCTGGGTGGGCTCTGAGCCCACCGCCATGGCACCCCACCCCACAGGTCCCGGGGAGGGGAGTCGGCCCAGCCCCAGCCGCATGCGGGGGACTCAGCAGCCAACAGCCACCACCTTCTATCGGACTTCCAGGCCCAGACAGGCTCCGTCTGCGTGGACTGGGGCTCCAAGAGGGCCGGTGTCCACCCCCAGGGGAAGTCGACACTGCCTCAACTATCCCGGGAGCCCCTCGCTGGGGCACCACACCCGGAGGAGCAGCCAACTCGGGGCGTCCCCACGCGCTGCCACGCGGCCAGGGACAAGCCTCACGGGCTGCGCTGGTCACCTCGGCCCAGTGGGCAACTGGAAGGCTGGTGTGAGCCCAGCGGCCACCCAGCCACCAGGGGCCCCGTTTCCCACCCTTGAGAGTAAGGCTTGCAGCAGCAGCCCTGGGGTCCCGGGAGATGCCGGGGTGACGGGGAGGGGCGAGGGGAGCATGTCCTTGGGACCTAGGTCAGGCCCACCCAAGGGACGGGGAGTCAAGGGCAGGATACAGCACTTCCGGGCTCAGAAACGAGTTCCTCATGTACCCTCCCCCACACTCACCCCTCCCCCATGCCCACCCACCCCCATACTCACCCCTCCCCCACTCGCCTCTCCCCATACCCGCCCCTCCCCTGTACCCACCCCTCCCCTCATCGCAACCCTCCCCCACACTCACCCCCGCCCCCACCCCATGCCCACCTTGGCAGTGGCGGCTGTCACCAGCTCCACCCTGGCATGGGCCTTTCGAAGCACGTGGTGACTGCCCGAGGCATTGGTGAAGATCTCCACGCCGTCCAGACCCATGTCCACATGCGGGCTGCAGTCAAGAGGCCGGCTGAGCCCCCTAGTCCCCCAGGGCCCCAGGGCTCAGGCAACCCCGACCTCTCACTGGGCAAGGGCGGGCAGTGGTGGCGCAGGCAGCTGACCTGTGCGGCGTCCACAGCTCCTCACAGATCTCACTCCCGATGCAGGAGTCGCGGGTGGCCAGCACGGCATCTCCGAAGGGCACTGTCTCCTGCGGGTGGAGCATGGGACCAAGACGTGGGGACGCCCACGTCACTCACACACTCCGGAAGGTGCCGCCAGGGGCCCTGCCTAGACCCCTGCTGCCTACACACAGGACATCCTGGCCGGGACCCAGCACTGACCAGTCACCACAGTTGCCACCCGACTGGCCTCAACCACACCCTCGAGAGCCAGGACCGGGCTGCCCGACAGTTCACCCGTCCACGGTTAACGTTGGCCCACACTGGCTGTGTCCACTGCAACTGTCAGGGTCAGTCACCAGCCCCCACTCATCACAGCCAGTCACACCATCACTCCGGGCTGGCACCCTGGGCTGAAAGGGCAGGGGCAGTGGCCCGCCTGGTTCCCGACACCCCCCTTCATGTCTCAGCACCCCCCTATCTGCTGTCCTCGTTTTCCCTGTGCTGCCAGCTCCAATCTCCTGTCCCTTTGTCCCAGAAGGATCCCGGGTGCCCGCAGCCTGTCCACAAGGCGACTGCACGGGAGCGTCCCCAGACACTCACCTGGTGGGTCAGGGCCTGGATCATCCGCGGGAGGAAGTACTCCTCGGTTTGCCTGGAGGGGAGGCACCGCATGGGCGAGCAGAGGGTCAGTGGCTGGACACCACTCCACGGAGCACAGAAGCAGAGCCCAAGAAGGGGCCAGGCCACGCCCCTCGCACCCCTCCCCCAGGCCTGGCCCCCGGGTCCCTGTGCAGAGCCTGGGCTCTGTTCTCTGGACCCCTGTCCAGATGGGACGTGAGCTCAACCGAGCAACGCGCCCCCGGGGCCCAGGAAGTATGAACGCGCCCCTCTCTGCATGCATGGGGCTCGGAAGGGACCCTCAGCACACAAAACCACACACGCTGATGAAAGCAGCCACACTACCATGTCAGGACTACAAGTCAGAACCACAGTGACTCCAGCACACGGGAGCGCTAACTCACAGCCAGCTCGGGGCCTTGCCCCAAGCCCATAACTCTCACCATCACTCACCCACGAACACGGCTTCCAGGAAGCCAGCACAGCGCCCAGCCGCGGGGCCAGTTCTGACACACTCCAGCACAGTGCCCAGCCACAGGGCGGCACTCTGGCCAGGCCTGGTTCCCCTAAGGCAGCATTTCCCAGTCTTTTGAGGCTTGGCCTGTGTCTTCTGCCTCGGATTCCTCTGAGGTCCCAAGCCCACAAAGGTGTTCTCTGTCCGTCTTCCAGACTCATGTAACATCTTTCCCTCGGAAGGCCGACCCCTTCCACAACACCAGCGGTGGGTGCTGTCTGCAGCCATACCCCTCAGCTCTGTTCCTGCTGCGCTCTCCCCGTGTGCCAACTCGGGCCGTCCCACCAGCGGTGCACGCGGACCCACACGCGGCCACTCAGTCACAGAAGCTGCTCCAGAGCCCAGACTGCTGGACAGAAACGGTAGCCAAGGGGTCTGCCTCTAGCACTGCGTTGACACCCCCTCGGCCAACGGGCTGAGTGCTCGCTGCACACGGGAGGCCAGGCTCAGCCCTGCACTGCACGCTCCCCTGAGCACTGCTCAGAGCCAAGAGCACCCCTGGGTGGGGCCAAGAAAAGAAATTAAAAAAAAAAAATCAACTGCTCACCAATGTGCTTCTAGAGATTCTAGAAGCCAGTTCCCAGCTGAGGACCCCTCCCCAGCCCCTTGCAGGGGACAGCGGGCAAAGTCACCCACGTTTCTGAACACTGAACAGATGCATCCACCAGAGGGGCCCCCACCCACCCTCCACCCCACCCCACCGCCATGGCCCACCACCCTAGTGCAGGGTGGCCCCCAACCCTGCCGCGGCCAAGCTCTGCCTCTAGCTCTCAGAGTGATGCAGGAACCAGGAACGTGAGTAACTCATTCCAGGAAACCACAGATGTGAACGCCTCATTAATCAGGGCAGAACAAGTCTGACCAGGCTGTGTGAGCAGAAACCAAAAGGACGCAAGAAGATGAAGGAAGTCGGTGCGAGGCCTGAAGCTGACTGTACCAAGTGTTAAGTGGAACACAGTGTGTCAAATGGAAATTATCCGCCCGAGAGCAATGCAGCAAGGAACAAACGTGTCAGAACCCTGTGTGAACTGTGTGGGATGCTGACACTTCCAGCAGCAGTCGAGTAGATCTGCATGCGGAAGAAACCTGCCTGCCTCTCAAACTTTCAGGCAACACCTGCTTCTTCTTTCTTTTTTTTTATTAGCGAGACACCATGAGGTACAGTTGTAGACTTGCAAGTTTTTGTGCTTGGGTTTCAGTTATACAATGATCGAGTACCCATCCCTCCACCAGTGCCCATTCTCCACCACCAATGATCCCAGTATCGCTCCCACCCCCCCATCCCTCCCCCCACCGTCTCCCCCAGTCCCACCCCGCCTCTGTGGCAGGACATTCCCTTTTGTTCTCTCTCTCCTTTTGGGTGCTGTGGTTTGCAAAAGAGACATTGAGTGGCAGTCATGTTCGGTCAATAGTCTACTTTCAGCATGCATCTCCCATCCTGGGAGGATCCTTCCAACACCTTTACTTGGTGCTCCCTTCTCCATCTGAGCTGCCTTTTCCCCTTGCATGTGCGGCTGGCCTCCAAGCCATGGAGTGAACCTCCTGGTACTTATCTCGGCTATTCTTGGGTAACACCTGGCAAAATTCCACAATTAGAGCAGCGTCAGCTCCGCCAAGCTTCACCTTTAACACTCAGGGCAACGCCCCCTCAGCCAGGCTCCACCTCCAGCACTCAGGGCAATGCCCCCTTAGCAGACTCCGCCTCCAGCACTCAGGAAAACGCCCCCTCAGCCAGGCTCCGCCTCCGGCACCCAGGGAAACGCCCCCTCAACCAGGCTCCACCTCCAGCACTTAGGGAACGCCCCTTCGGCCAGGCCCCGCCTCCAGCACTCAGGGAAACGCCCCCTCAGCCAGGCTCCGCCTCCGGCACCCAGGGAAACGCCCCCTCAACCAGGCTCCACCTCCAGCACTTAGGGAAACGCCCCTTCGGACAGGCCCCGCCTCCAACACTCAGGGAAACGCCCCCTCAGCCAGGCTCCGCCTCCGGCACCCAGGGAAACGCCCCCTCAACCAGGCTCCACCTCCAGCACTTAGGGAAACGCCCCTTCGGACAGGCCCCGCCTCCAACACTCAGGGAAACGCCCCCTCAGCCAGGCTCCGCCTCCGGCACCCAGGGAAACGCCCCCTCAACCAGGCGCCACCTCCAGCACTTAGGGAAACGCCCCTTCGGACAGGCCCCGCCTCCAGCACTCAGGGCAACGCCCCCTCAGCCAGGCTCCGCCTCCGGCACCCAGGGAAACGCCCCCTCAACCAGGCTCCACCTCCAGCACTTAGGGAAACGCCCCTTCGGCCAAGCCCCACCTCCAACACTCAGGGAAACGCCCCCTCAGCCAGGCTCCGCCTCCGGCACCCAGGGAAACGCCCCCTCAACCAGGCTCCACCTCCAGCACTTAGGGAAACGCCCCTTCGGCCAGGCCCCGCCTCCAACACTCAGGGAAACGCCCCCTCAGCCAGGCTCCGCCTCCGGCACCCAGGGAAACGCCCCCTCAACAAGGCTCCACCTCCAGCACTCAGGGAAACGCCCCCTCAGCCAGGCTCCGCCTCCGGCACCCAGGGAAACGCCCCCTCAACCAGGCTCCACCTCCAGCACTTAGGGAAACGCCCCTTCGGACAGGCCCTGCCTCCAACACTCAGGGAAACGCCCCCTCAACCAGGCTCCACCTCCAGCACTTAGGGAAACGCCCCCTCAGCAGACTCCGCCTCCAACACTCAGGGAAACGCCCCCTCAGCAGACTCCGCCTCCAACACTCAGGGAAACGCCCCCTCGGCCAGGCCCCACCTCCAACACTCAGGGAAACGCCCCCTCAGCAGACTCCGCCTCCAACACTCAGGGAAACGCCCCCTCAGCAGACTCCGCCTCCAACACTCAGGGCAACATCCCTTCGGCCAGGCCCCGCCTCCAACACGAAAGAACGCCCCTCCCCTTTTTATAGCCAAGCTTTACACCACTCCCCACCCCCACAATCATCCACCTCCCGTGTCCACAACAACACCTACCCATGGGCATCCGGGAAGCCCTGAGCTGCAGGGCTCCACACTTAGAAACCCCCAGACTGGTGAGGGGTTCCACGTGTGAGCTCGGAGCTCCAGCGAGTCACCGATGACCATGCAGGGTCTGTGAGCTCCTGACCACAGGGCAGGGCTGGGCCAAATGCCCCACGCCTCAACAGACACAGCCCGGGGACGCAGGACTCACCTGCTCCGGGACCAGGGGGTGAACCAGCGCAGCTCTCGGTAGTTGCCCTCGTTGGCCAGGGCCATCTTGGGTCTGATGAGCAGGATCTTCCTACAAGCGGAAACGGGGCTCCTGAGACCACCAGGTGCCAGGGCAGCCCCCACCCAGGCCTGGGGGCTGCACCACCCCCTGATGTATGGGTGCCCCAAGCCACTGCCCCTCATACCTGCAGGTGCTGGGCCCGTGAGGCCGAGCCACCCTGGGGCTTCCAGGAGCTCCCCAGGGACCTGGGCACCAGGGGTCAGGCAGGTCCCTCTGCGCCCCTCCCCCCCGCCCCCGGCCACCTACCTGTTGAGGAATATCACCCTGCAGTTGTAGCGGACATTACGGTGCATGATGGGCCTGCAGAGAGAGGCGTCCTGCTGCCTCCTGGATGCCGTCCACACCGGGCACTCCCCATCGCCCGGGTCCCTGTGCCACTTGCCTTCTTCCACACAGACCCCTGCAGCTACACCACAGGCCTGCCATCCCCACCTCTGCACCAACTCTACCAGTGCCGCCCCCATGACACCTCCCGGCCTACCTAGACCCCCCTCTGTCCCCACACCCACATCACACCTATGTCCCCTGAGACAGTGCATGGAGAGGAATCATACATGCCTGTTCCTCTGGGTCCCCCAAACACCTACACTGGACCTCACGGCCCCTCCCCATGCTGTGGAAACACACAGGAGGCAGCCAGCCCATGCCAGGCCCTCCCCAAGGTCAGGGTCAGTGAGATCAGCTGCCCACGGTGTCCGGCCACGGAAGGTGCTCACACATCGGGGAACTGAGGAACTGCTAATCCAACAGAAACTCTTCGGGAGCTGCCCCTCAGGTGAGACGGAAGCACAAGCGTCCCCAGAACACCACACCACCACCGCACACATGCACACACACACACACACACACGCATTCACACACGCATGCACGCACACAGGGGTGCTGGGCCCACCCTGTCCTGCACAGGTGGTACTTACATCCCCACATCACAGATGATGTCTTGCGTGACCGGAGCCTCCAGAAGGGCCGCGAGGACTTGAAAGGAGTGCAGGAGGGTGTCTGACTCGTAGTAATGGTCCCAGCACCCATAGCCACTGTGGAGGGAAGGGCAGCGGGGCTGAGGCGGGAGTGGCCGGGCGGCTCATCCGGCAGTGCAATGCTCGGCGGACTCAGGTCAGTCACCTGCAAGGCGGGTCCCCTGCCCACTGTGCCCTCTCTCTGGCCGGGGGCTTGAGAGTCTCCTGGGGGACCCCACTGAGGCACCAAGGTCAGAACCGCGGCTGGAAATGAAGAAACGGTAGTCCGAACCTTTGATCTTCATTGCAAGCTACAGTACATTTTCTTTCACATCAAAAAGATTTGGGTGGGACTGGAGCAATAGCACAGCGGGTAGGGCATTTGCCTTGCATGCGGCCAACCCGGGTTCGATTCCCAGCATCCCATATGGTCCCCTGAGCACCGCCAGGTGTGACCCAAAAAGCAAAAAAAAAAAAAAAAAGATTTGTGTGTTTGGGGTTTCGTTTTCCTTTTGGGTTTTGGATTCTTTTTTAGGGTGTTTTTGTCTTTTGGTTTTGGAGTCACACCTGGTGGTGCTCGGGACTCACTGCTGGGTCTGCACTCAGGGACCCTGGCAAGTTTGGGGACCATATGTGGCACTGGGGGAGTCATACCAGCTTGGCCGCATACAGGGCAAGTGCCCTACCCGCTGTGCTACTGCTAAGGCCATTTGTTCTTTGTTTTGGGGGCCACAACCAGTGGTGCTCAGGGTTACTCCTGGCTCTGTGCTCGGGGATCAGTCCAGACATGCTCAGGGACCCCTACACAGTGCCAGGGATCAAATCCGGGTGGGTTGCATGAAAAACAAGCATCTGTGAATAGGACCTTGCTTGGGGAAAGAGACTGCACAGGGCTAGTGAAGGGTCTTGAATACGAGAGGCGGAAGGGGTAAGGGGCAGACTGGGACCCCCCCAGACCAGGAAAGACGGAAGGGGGGAGGGGCAGGCATATGCCTTGTCCATTCCGCCTTACTCCTCCCCTGTCACAAACACCCAGGGAACTGTATCTGTCCTCAGCATATTTCAGTTTTGGTCCTGGCCTACATCTTGCTTGGACCAGTTCGGATCCTGACCCAGGTTCACTCCCTGGCAGCCTGAGAGCACCAGGGCTGAGCCCTAAGCACAGAGCCCGGAGTCAGCCCTGAGCACTGCCAGGAGGGGTCCAAGGACAAAACATAAATAAATGCAGGCAGCCAGGGTTGGCCCCCGGGGCCCTCGCTCTCTGCCATAGGGGTGGGACCCCTGCCCAGCAGACACTGGAAGTCTCTGCTCAGTAGAGAAGCCTGGGTCCTCTCCTGCCTCAGTTTCCCCTCTGGATATGTGTGGAGAGCCCAGCTCAGATCCACGTCTAACTCTGACCCACCGCTGGCACACATGATGCCCTCCGATGGGCGTGGCGACAGGGGGGCATCGGGGAGAGCAGTGGCGGGAGAAAGACTAGGACAGAGGCAGAAATGAGTGCGGGGCCGAGCCTGTGCCTGGACACTATGAGGGGGGACCAGCAGGACCCAGGCCCACCCCAGGCCACGGCGGCAGGGAGATACAGAACACCCAGCAGCTCTGGAACAGAGGGCACTGGGCAGAGGGCACTTGGGCACTCCCGGCCCTCGGCAGCCCAGAAGCCCACACCCTGACGTCATGGCAACAGTCTGGGCCGAGAAGTCGGGGTTCACCACTGAGAACTCAAGCCCCCCGGAGAGGATGCGCTGGAAGGCAAGCAGGGCCCGCGCATGCGCGCAGAGGGCGGAGATGCAGGGACACGGGACCACCCAGGGGTAGCGGGGGCTGCCGAGCCCAGAGAGAGCCAGGGACGCTCCGAGGGGGCTATTTCTGACAAGGAACTAGAAGCGAGTGGAGGAATGGCTTTCCTGGGTCTTCCTGGTGCCCAGAGGGCTGAGTGCGACCCTTTCAGGCCAAACTGGACACGGCAGAGCTGGGAGGGGGCGCAGGGGCGAGTCAGCCCAGCGCTCCGGCACCCCAGGGGTCTCAGGCCCCAGCCACGCTATGTTGGCTCATGCCTGGCAGTGATCAGGCCCTTCTCGGGCTTCTAGATTTTGGTGGTCTCCTTCCTCACCTGGGGCCTGTGTACACTGAGGCTGGCGCCTCACCCGTTCCCCCTCTCACCCCACGCCCACCACACACACCCCCCTCAGTGGGGGCTCTGTTCTTACCATATTTCCAGCTCTGGTCCGAGCCTGTATCTTGCTCCTCTCTGCTTGGCAATTTCAATGCCTGTGTATGAGGGAGAGAAAGAGGCACCAGCTCAGCCCTGCATGGGACGGACCAGGAACCGGGCCTGAGCCTGAGGTCAGCAGGGTGGGGGGGCCAGGGAGTGCTAGCCTTGCACACCCCCAGCCTGAGTTCGATCCCAGCACCCCAGAGCCCAGCCAGGAGTGATCTCTGAGTGCAAAGCCAAGACTAAGCCCTGAGCACCGCCAGGTGTGGCCCCCAAATGAACAAATAAATAAATCAGCCAACGAGGGCCACCTGGAACCCTGCTTCCATCTGTGGGGGGGAGAAGGAGGGCTGGGGGTGAGCCCCGCACAAAGGCCAGGGAGGGGGTGGTTCCCCTCTGCTGGTCCCAGGAGACAAAACACCTGGGGAGGTGTCTTCCCTGATGGAGACCAGCAGCTCAGCCTGGGAGGAGGGAGCAGCAGTCAGGACCCCAGCGCCCGCCCCCTCATCAACATCAGGTGAGCTCTGCAGCTGGCAGGAGGGGACAGAAGGACGGAGCGATTAAAAGGACAAAGGTCAGACATGGGGCTGCCTCTTGGCAGGAGGCTGCCCCTGGGTGAGGCCACCTTAGAGGCCACCTCCGGGGCCAGGACCAGCCCTGGGGACCTCCTCTGGGTTCAGGACCAGCCCTGGGGACCTCCTCCGGTCAAGACCAGCCCAGGGGACCTTCTCTGGGGTTCAGGACCAGCCTTAGGGACCTCCTCTGGGGGCCAGGATCAGCCCTGGGGATCTTCTCTGGGTTCAGGACCAGCCCTGGGGACCTCCTCTGGGCTCAGGACCACCCCAAGGGACCACCTCTGGAGTTCAGGGTGGCCTCTGGGGGTCACACCCGCAGCAGTCCCATCCCAGTGCGAAGTAGCCAGTGCCTCTAAGCCCGCAGGCACACCCCTTCTCTGCTACTCCAGCGGCCACCAGCAGAGCTGGGCAGCAGCAAAGACCGCCCCACCTCGGGACAGGCGGGGCAGCTCAGCTCCACGAGGGCCCAGGCGCCCCAGGTAGCCTCAGCCCTCGCCCTGCCCCCTCGGCCGGAACAGGGTCCCTGGCACCGCACGCGCCCACGCCCACCCCGCCGGGCACCAGGCACTCACGTGGTCGTGGACACTCGCAGGACCTTATCTGTCCCCACACCCTGGGCTACAGGTTCCTCCGGGGCCAGGCGGGGCGGGCGTGTGTCGTCCACCCAGCCAAGCCCGGCCCGAGCGGGGTCCGCGCCGCTGTCCCTCCCCGCGGGCACCCGCCGACCCCACTCACTCTTTAAAATCCTCTGCAAATTGCCCTCGAAGTCCAGTGCCCACTGGTTGAGCGCGCAGGTGGCCACGGTCACCTTCCGGCCCATCCTGGACGCGGGGCGGGGGCGGCGGGCGGCGGGCAGCGGGCACCGGGGTCCCACCCAGGGGTCCCAGCTAGGCGGGCAGCGGGGTCCCAGCGAGGTGGCCAGCAGCGGAGCGGCTCCTTCCCGGTCGCCCCGCCCCGCCGGGCGAGCGCGCCGCTGATTGGCCCCGCAGGGCCGCGCCCTCGGGCCCCGCCCCCAGGCCCCGCCTCCATTCGGTTGGCCCCGCCCCAGCCGCCCGCGCGCCTGCGCACGAGCGCCCGGCGCGCCCCGGGCCCGCCCCCGGCCGCTGCTCTTTGCCCGGGCCGGGGCGTCCTTGAGCCGGCCGGGCGGGCGGGGCCAGGTACCCCGGCGGCCTGCAGCCCTCGGAGCTGGCGCGCGCTGTCCGGGGCAGTCGGCCTTCCTCTTGCAACACCGGAGACAATGTTTCCTTTCTGCAATCGGGCGCTCCTGGCTAAGATCTGATTCTTCCACCAATCAACTCACAGACGCGCCCGCAGGACAGCGCGGGCTGATGCTGGGCTGGGCTGCCCTGCTGGGCTGCTGGGCTGCTGGGCGCTTGCCTGGACCAGGCTCTGTCCCAGGCTTCCCTCCCACCTGCGGCTGGCAGCCAGCCCTCTCCCAGGCTTGCGGTGTCCACCTCCCAGGCATGCCTAGGGGACACGTTTCCACCAAGGACTGGCCCTCCACCTCGGAGGTGTTTTCTCTTTTCTTTTTTTTAATTATTATTCTTTTAATAGTGAGACATCATGAGGTACAGTTGGAGACTTACACATTTTTGTGCTTGGGTTTCGATTATACAATGATCAAATGCCCATCCCTCCACCAGTCGACGTGTTTTCTCTTTAAATTACTTTTTTTTTCTTTTTGGGCCACACCTGGTGATGCACCAGGGCTACTTCTGGCTCTGCACTCAGGAATTACTCCTGGCGGTGCCCGGGAGATCATATGGGATGCTGGGAATCGAACCCAGGTCGTTTGTGTGCAAGGCAAATGCCCTACCCACGGTGCTATCTCTCCAGCCCCTAAGTCCCTCTTGTTAAAGGGAGGCTCGTTAGTGATGGGCAGTTTGCAAAACTCCAGGAAAGCATAGGAATCCTTCACATTTCCAGTAATATGCCTTTCCCCGGCCCCAAGGGTCCTTCAGACATCCCTCAGTTCTTTGGGGGGGGTCTCTACTCAGATACGTCCCACCAACAAGGGCTGGTGGAGGCCTGGGGCAGGAAGGAGCAATTCTTCCGAGTCCAGTAACAACAGAACGTAAACCGGTACTCAGAGAAGGATGGAAAGAAAGGTCTCAGCGAAAGGAGAGGTCTGTTAGACTGCTTAGGCGCCTGGCAGTGAGTTTTTCCAAAGTAACAAAATCCAGATGTGAATGACAGAAGTCAGGTGTCACACCCGAAAGCAGCGGGGAAGCACCCACTGGCAGAAACAAAAGGTTGTGCAGTCTTATGGGAAGGGGGGGCGGCACCGGCTCGTCCTTCACGCCCTACCGAGGTCACGAGTTGCCCCCCATGAGCAGCTCTCCGGCACAGCCATAACACCAGACGCACAGAAACCAATCTCTAAATTATCTGGCTCTTTGCAGAAATCCAAAATTGTGTGGCCACTTTTGCGGCCGTGTGACATTATATGATTCTCATACCAGCTCTAGAAAACAAAGTACTCCACAATGCCTTTTCAGCAATTCTGATTGTTGGGGGGGGGGGGGGGAATTCTAAACAATAATGGTGCATCTTTTGTCGAAATGATGAATGTAATCAATGTGGAGAAGAGTTAAGTAGAAATCATCTGCCTCACAGGCATTGGGAGGGGTGGGAGGGGGGTATATTGGGGTTCTTGGTGGTGGAAAATGAGTACTGGTGAAGGGAGAGGTGTTTGATCATTGTATGACCGAGACTTAAACCTGACAGCTTTGTAACTTTTCCCACAGTGACTCAATAAATAAGAAAAAATAAAAAAAACAAAAAAGTAAAAAATAAAAAAGAATAGGAAAGAAGGGACTGAAGAGAGAGTGTGGGGGGGGGGGAGCAGGCACTAGCCTTGCACACAGTCAAACCCAGGTCTGTTCCTAATACCACGTATGACCCCTCCAGCACTGACAGGGGTGGTCCCTGAGCACAAAGCCAGGAGTACCCCCACCAAGGCCGGCCTGGGTGTGCCCCCAGCCCCTCCCCCACACATACCCCAGAAAGTGTATGAATGACTCCCCAAAACTTCCAACTCTCCCCTGGATTTCCTATCAAGATTCTCATCTACTCAGAAAGCATCAAGTGGGGGCAGTCCCGGGACCCCCACAGAAAGGGCTGCAGAGGAAAGAGGGGAGAGTTTTCTATCTTGGGAGTCACCCACGTTTCCAATTAGAGGCGCTCTGACTGTGTGCCCTCGGCTCTCTCCCCTCGGAGAACCCCACCTGCTCTGAACGCATTTTTCTCCTCCCTCCTCCTGCTTCTCTCACAGCTTCCTTCTCTCTGTTGCCTTCCTGAGATTCTTTGAGGACAGACGACAGACCCAAGAGAGAGCCGGGGCCCTGGGCAGAGCCTGGACTGGCCTTCCTTAACTTCCCTAGTGTGGAGACTCAGTTCTGCTTCCTGAAGACAGGGCGGACCTTGGCACAGCTGGGGCACTGGGCTGCCGGCCCTGGAGTCTGTGCCATGTGGGAGCAGACTTCTCCTGTCCAAATCCCCAGGGTCACCATTGTGGCGGTGACCAGATCGGTCCCTTGGTGCATTCAGGAGGGATGGAGAAGCGGGTCACAGGATGGGCCGGCAACATTTTCCTTGAAATCAGACAGGAAAAGTGTAAGGGTGGGGGGCCAGGGATTGGCCTGGGTTTGGTTGAACTTCAACATGGGTTTGGCTGAACATATCACGATCACGATCATCCTGTTGTTCGTCGATGGCCTCGAGCAGGCACCCGTAACATCTCCTTCATCCTACCCTGAGATTTTAAAAAGTGCCATATTCAAGGTTCTTTCAGGGTTAGGAGAATGAGACCCATCATTGTTACTGGTATTTGGCATATTGGGTATGCCACGGGGAGTTTGGCAGAGTCTGCCGTGTGGGCAGGTTACATTCGGTAGCCTGCCAGGTTGTCCAAAGTGAGAATGAGATAATAAGATCTTCCCAGAGCTGAGTTTCATAGTCTCTGGGTCTTGGCCGTTGATGATATTACACGGTGCCAGGGGGCCAATTGGTGGGTGTGACCCCTGCCTACTGGAAGATGGAGGATCTGGGTGGCGGATGCTCAGCCCCGATCCGAGCAGGCTTGGAGGTCTCAGTCCTGGGACCCGCATGCCTGTGTTCTAGGCCAGCACTCCATCTCAGGGACCCCAGCACTCTGGATTCTGGTCCCCAAAAACTCTCTCTTCTTGTTTTGCTGCTCTGTGAACCAGCTTCCAAGCCTTGGTTGGGTTGCACAGAGACCCCCTCCGGCGTCTGGATATCCCTGGGCAGAGGGAACGGGACTGGGGGCTGGGATTAACTCTAGTTGCCCCTCAGAAATAGCTCCAGAGTGCTGAATCTACTGAATATCCATGAAATCAACCTGCTCTGGGGCATTTAAGTCATTCCTGCTGGCTCTAATTAATACAAAGAACAAATTACTGAGATATATTGGTTTTTTCTTTCCTTCACTGGTGATCCATTTAAACAATCATTACATTTACTTTTTATTTATATTTAGAGTTGTTTTGTATAAACTCTGTATGAACACTGAGCAATAGCACGGCAGGTAGGGCATTTGCCTTGCACGTGGCCAACTGGCCGACCTGAGTTCGATTCCTCCGCCCCTCTCGGAGAGCCATGCAAGCTACCAAGAGTATCTCGCCCGCACGGCAGAGCCTGGCAAGTTCCCCGTGGCGTATTCAATATGCCAAAAACAGTAACAACAGGTCTCACAATGTTACTGGGCCCGTTCGAGCAAATTGATGAACAACAGAAGGACAGTGACAGTGACAGTTTGTATAAACACAATAAGAGATATAGACTCTTATCTATACCCTTGATAAAAGAGGACTTTTCCGGGGAACATTTCACTATGTTTCTCAGGCTACAGTGCTCAGGCCAGGATAGCTTTTTCTAACCCCAATAGGGTCTTTTTTTAGTTACTTCTTGCCCTTGCCTTCAAGGGCAATTAAAGTTGAAGTCAAGTAAATATGACAGATGCCCAGGAATTAATATTTTTCAGAGTCAATTAACTCCCACGTCACAAAAGCATAGCATTAACTGTCTTCCTGTGCCTATACAAAAAGGACCTTGCTCTACACTAAAAACAAACAGAGAAACGCAAGTATTTCACTTACATCGTAATGCAGTCTTCCACAAGCTTCTTAAATAATCCTTTAAAGCAGGCAAGCATATGATATGATTCCAAATTAAAGTATTTAAATTCACAGGATCTCACAACTTTCATACAAATGATTATAAAAATTTTATCTAACTGTACTTTTAATCAAAATGACAAATTTGCCCTTCAAGTTTTGCTCCTGAGGACAGGAGTGATGCTTTTCCCCCTTATTTATTATTACTATTTTTAATTTGATTTTATTATCATTTTATTTGGCTTTGCAGGCTGGTTATTTTACCTTGGCAGACATCTCGGCCGTGTCGGTGGCATGGGCTCTGCAGTGGCTGCCCTAGAAGCACTAGTACAAATATAACAACTAAAAGGGGGCTGTTAGAATTGCCACGAGGGACGAGAAATGTTTGAATGGATAGCAACTGGCTGGACCACCCATCATGTTTCCAAGAGATCAATGCTGGAAAAAAAAAACTTTTTTAATTTGTGAGAGAAAGTTTCAAAGATTAAGCTGCAAACGTCGTATGTCATAAGAAACATTTCCCGGGTTAAGCAAATATTTTCTGATCGATTCCCATAAATGCTGTGCATTCCCATAAATTTGGGGAGGAACACATCACTGGATAAAATTTAAATCTCATTTGAAATCACTTTTAGTTTATAGATTTTGTATTTCATCCCCTAGAAAACCCTCTGCTTGTTGCAAGTTGACTGTTTGGCTCATGATTTTTGGATGAAGTTATTGTTGACTGGGTCATAATAACCTAGCAATTTTATTTTTTTGCCATTTCTCAATAAAATAGACGGTTTGTGTGCCC